GGCTGCAAAGGAGCAGACAAAGGTTTATCCCACGCTGAAAGGAAAAGAGACAACATTCCGGCTATGGAGCCTTCTTCAGGCTTGAGCGTTGCGTCTCTTTTCTTTTCCTTTCAGCGTGGAATAAACCTTCACCCGCTCCCGAATTGAAAACATTTTGTAAGCTATAAAAAAGTACAACTTGGGGTTCAACAATAAGATCTAGCAGTTCGTCTCCCAAAGGATTACCACCATGTCATATTAAAAGGCTGAGAACTTAACACGCACATACAACTAGAGAACATTTTGCTTAACTGAAGTTGCTGCTGTACAATAATCTCAAGATAACTGACAACAAAGGGCTTTAGTCCAGATTTAGGAGAGGACTGCAAAAACCTCGTCTGTCCCAGGCTGAAACCCGCGCACAATTCTAGCAGGTGTCACTTACTAAATTAACTACAGATCATTTCTTCATTTCTACAGCAGACCAAGACGGCGCACGCAAGGCTCTCAATACACTAGTGTGCGATCTCCATCCGCATTATTAGAAAAGTTATAAAGTTGCAGCAACCACTTCAGCATGTTCCCACTGCTGAAGGCAAACCTGAAGTGAGCTCTTCTGCAGAGCATCAAGGACCTTTTCAAGGATAAGAGCAGAGCGGTTCGGTTTCCAGTAACTGCTCCCAGAAGATAAATATCACTATTAAACAAACTTAAACTGCAAGCAATTTGATTCCCTGCCCCCTAAGAGATCACAAATCATCGCCGCTGGGTCAGCGCGCGGGACGGGCCAGGATCCTTCCCCCATCCACTGCGGCAACAATAACCATTTTGACAGCAACGATAAAGCTGCTGCTGCCAAGACTCACAGCTAGGAAAGCTTCCAGGAGGGGAGGGAAGAAATGAGAAACGACAGGCGAACACCTGGACTGGACTGCTGTGTGACAGCCGGGGCCTCCTTCAAGCAGCGCCAGCATCAGCGCGAGCGCCAGCCCAGCACCAGCACCAGGCCAGCACCAGCACCAGGCCAGCACCAGCACCAGCACCAGCACCAGCACCAGCCCAGCACCAGCACCAGGCCAGCACCAGGCCAGCACCAGCACCAGCACCAGCACCAGCCCAGCACCAGCACCAGCACCAGGCCAGCACCAGCACCAGCACCAGCCCAGCACCAGGCCAGCACCAGGCCAGCCCAGCACCAGCCCAGCACCAGCCCAGCACCAGCACCAGCACCAGCCCAGCACCAGCCCAGCACCAGCCCAGCACCAGCACCAGCCCTGAGCTTCGAGGGCAAACAGTCAAACAGCAATGCTGCCACACAGGGTTACTCTTGATCCACTCTTGCACTGCTCGGGAGCTCGACACCCCAAAGACTGCACAAGTCGGGGGGAGGCACGCGCCCCGGCCCACCCCGCCCCGCCGGCGGCCCCCCGATCGTTACCGTGTAGCGGTAGTTCTCGTCCTTCTGCCTGCCCCTCCTGCGCAGCACGGGGAGCGACTCGAACTGGTGGCCTCCTCTGAAGGGCACCGTGGCCTTCCCGGCCACCCAGGCCTCGTCCAGGATCCCCCCGAACGTCCGCACGAAGTACTGGCGGCAGGGCCGGCGGCTGGGCTCTGCGGGAATCGGGGCGGGGGGGGGGGGGGGGTCAGGGCGCGCCACGGCACCGGGCCCTGACCTGTCCACCCTCTCAGCGTGCGCACCGCTAGACACAGGAAGACACCGAGCGGCAGGGCCAGGCAGCTCCCTGCTGATGAACCCCTCTGGCCCCCGGCGCAAGGCCAGGAGGGAGGGAGCCGGCGCGAACAGGCCGCAGGGCTGCGTGGGATCGCTCGGTCAGGAGCGGGGAACTGCAGGCTGGAGCGTCCCGATACATCTACATCACGCACGCGAGGTCAGAGCAGGGCGAAGGCTTTCTTTTCTTTTTCTTGTCCTTACAAGTGTTTTCCATTTCCTCCGTAAAAGAAAACTGAAGGCACAGCATTGTTTGCTTCATTCTGTTTGTGTCTTTGCAGACGTTAACGGTGAGTCACCAGCAGAGATATAGTATAATATGTATAATATCGCTGCCAAAGAACATCACAAGATTAAAACCAAGGCTTAGATCTCAAAAACCTACTTCTTCTGCACGTCGCCAAATTGCCCAAATAAAATACTCGCACAATAACCCAAACTTAATTTGTAGATTTAATATAATTCTGTCCTTATGGAACAGATCCTTTTATAACAGTCTATTATAACGGCCTATTCCAGGATTGCTAAATCAATTTATATCAGCATTAGCATTAGTAAAACCCTTCATTTATCCATCCACTTGCTAACTGCTTGTTCCAGGTCAGGGCTGCAGGGGAGCCGGAGCAACAGGCGCAAGGCAGGGATCAATAGAACCAATATCTCCAGGTACAGTCAGCAATAAGGAAAAATAAACTGAAGACTACACAAACGTACCATTAGCAAGTGCTTCGACAGATAAAAAGAAATCTCATGATTGAGATAACTGGGCCAGAGCCATTTTGCTTGAATGAGGAACCTGGAGGCAATGGGCTCCCGGGACTTATCAATCACCACAGAACCGACCGATTACTGTTACCAGTTAAACCAGAGCATTAAGCGTGTGCGGGGCCCGGAGGCCCTACCTTTCATCCTGAAGAAGGTGTGCAGGAGGGGGTCGCAGCAGACGCGGCAGGGCCACCAGGGCCGGCGGTTGAACTTGGCCCACACCAGGTCCCCCACCGCGTACTTCACCGCCGGGCTGGGACGCTTCTTGGGACTGCAGGGCTGCAGGGCAGCGAGAGGAGACGGGGTCAGCACAGAGACGCCACACACGTACACGAGGCGCACCGCCTCGCCCGACAGGCGAGAGACCAGGGGCCGCGGGAGCACAGGACGTGGGCCGGCAGAGAACAGCAGGCACGTACTTACACAAAGAGTCGTGGGAGTGTGGAGCAAGCTACCCACTCATTCTACTGAAGCCTAAACCCTGACTTCTCGGGCAATCGGGCCGGATGTCATCCTCAGATCAATTAGCTACTCGGTACCAAAGCAAGCGAGCTGCACCAGACAGCCTCCTCGTTTGTAATCTTGCTAACATTTCTGAAAGAGCTAAATGAAACCCTCCGACGTTAAAAAAAAAAGAATTCTGACGCACAAAAACTTTTAGCACCGACATTTAACAGAACTTACTACACGGGTACAGTGTAAAAAAAGAAAAAGATGCTCTGCCATTTACTCCACAGATGCACAAACATAAGCCATTACTCCAAAGCACTCCAGCACCAGTGTGGCATTCAGTGAAATACAGCACAATATCTGAAATCCCTGTACTAAAATACATCTATTTAATACAAAACAGCCATTTAGCACACATTACAAGTTAGTTACAGCCCTTAACTATTGCACAAAATGTGTGGCTCGGCTGTACAGAAAATAATTGACTTGTTTTACAGTAAAATACAGTTTTTTCAGGCTTACTAAAATGGTCCATATTTGTTCTGGTTCAGAAACTCATCCAGCTTCTACATCGACTGGAGTCCCTTCACTGGTTGTTCCACCTCATCGGAGACTGAGGGGGCAGACCGGGGTGTCTTTATTTCCAAGGCGATCAGACCTGTTACCGCTAACGAGCGCTGGACACCAGGGACTTCAGTCCTGAGCTCCGCCGCGCGGCCGCTGTGCAGCGTCTGAGGGACGAGCCAAAACCACACGATAAACACGGCCCTCGGGGGGGGGGGCGCGGCCAGCGGCTCGCCGTTCAAAACCCCGACAACGGAAACCGGGCAACGCGTCCGTGTGCTTCTTCATCCTCCCGCCCCTTCGGGAAGAGCTGGAATCGCGAAGCTTTCGTTCTGAAGGATCTCTACCTATGCAGACCCCGTGAGTTTTGAGAACAGTAATGGGGGAAGAGCTGGTCCCAGCGGCGGTGGTACACTGCCATGCAGAGCTGAACTGAAGCGCCACTCTCATTCTGTACCGACAACTCCGCACAGGGAAGTATCCGCTGCATGTTTCACGAAGGGTTAACACTGCGGCTGGTAACCCTGGAGAAATCTACAGCCCACAGACTGGAACAGTGGCTGTGCGTCATCGGCGCAGTCCACCGCACGACGAGACAAGACCGGGTCTCCTGCCGCAGGACCGCGCGGCACTGTCTGGGGTTCGAGACGGTGACGTCACACGTCAGTCACGCGCTCGGTGCGCTGAGCCCCGTCACACATCACAGCTCAGTAAGAGAGCAGCTTCCTGGAGAACAACACAACACATCACAGAGGGGAACGGCTTGACTGTGAATTCAGTGCAACAGGACTTTAAAACTGGCCATACTGGTCTAAAGACCAGAATCAGAATAGTTTAAAGGAGTATGTCAAAAAATGTTTAACATAGCCATATTAGAAGACACAAAACATTTTAAAATATTCCGGTCTTATTATGATGCATCACGTTGCTACTATAAAGCACATTTATTTATAATGAAGCAAAACTTTCAAAGACTGTATTGCCAATAGCCTGGCCTTCTTGCGTTCTCCTTGCAACAGCATGTACAATTCACCGGACACTGTGCACACCCGGGGCTGGCTATCAACAGGCACGATACAAGAGACACGAAAACACAGAAAACCCCAGCTTATCATCGACTGCTGGACCCAAGCCAACAAGCCGAAGTCAATTATGTGTATGTCGATTAATAAGAAAGCAAATCTGGTTTACTGTTGTGCTGCATTAAAACCAGCTTTCTATAAAAGACAAAAACCCTGTCCGTGCGGAGCCGTGACCGAGGCGCCGTGATGAAAGTCACACTGTGGCACACGGGATGGCTGGAGCCAAGTTAATTTGGTCATTTCAACATGCTTCCCTAGCAGAACGATGTTGCTGGACATCCCCGTTTTTTCTTTCTTCAGTAAGAGGAAAGTAAAATCGTATGCTAAAATCTCCCTTCAAAGCGTCTGAAGTCTGCAGGGCTCACTTCTCAAGACAAATCTGAAATATCTAAATGGCGCCTGGGCACATCAAGAAGACTCCACTCTTTCAGCCAACTAGTTAGAAGGAACATCTCCATTTGAGTGATCACCGCTATCGCACAGGCTTGACTCTACCACCAAGAAAGCCTCAAAGCTGGTTTGAGCAACAATAAATCTCCCGAGAAAAAAATGGAAGAATTCAACAGTTAATGGCTTTAGAGTTTCCATTTAAATCAAACCTGGAAGATCTCTGTGAAGCGGTTCTCTGTACACGTACACTGCACCAGAATCCAAGTGGTCTATCCACATGGCTAATTCGAATATTGGCCTCCCCATTTGTTAGAATTTGCATAACTCAAAACAAACACAGAAGACACAAGTCCGCAATCATAGGAGCGCCTCTCGAGACAATGAACGCACACGTGCAAACCAAGCCAAGACCTTCACAGGGACTCGAAAACATGGCTAGTGTGTTGCTCCTCAGTCACGTGACACAGCTCAAGCCCAAAACCTACACTTTATTGCAACAGATGAAAAATCCAACATTTACAAACATCTTAACTCTCTGTGATAATATTAAACATGGTTCAATTTACCTTTATTGTTTTTTAATTGGTTAAATTGGAATTAACCAGATAAACGGTAACAACAGAAGTCTATTCTAGGACTCTCTATTTTGCATTCCGGTAAATATGAATCCCCTTGCTTGTTAAAATGACATGTCGCCCTTTGCAGTCATTTTTGTTGCTCTGATCAAATGAAAAAAGCAAAGCTGAAATTCAGATTTAGTGCCCAGAGACACTACCTGCCACTGGGATGGGAGGTTTCGACAAGGCGGCAGTGCAGGTGAGCCAATCAGAGTCAAGCACTCGGGGGGGCGTGGCCAGCCCTGCTGGCCAATGGCAGGACAGAACGACTGTCCACAGTATCACGCACGCAGTGTAGCTTTGACAGCTTTACCATTTCAACTTTATGCCGGGGTTAAAACGTGAGCTTTCATTCTGGCATCAAAATATCCGAAATGATTCTAGAAACTTTCTGCGCCCCTTATTTGCCCTCCCTGCTCTGTGGGCTCTGAACACATCTTTCTCAACGCTGCAGCACGACAAAGCAAGCCCAGTAACAAGAAGAGGAGCTGGTGGTTCAACCAGGAAAGCAGTTTCGCCAAAAACTTCACACTGTTTTTTTTCCCGTTTCAAAACTGCAGCTTTTCGGCCTTGAACAGATAAGACACCCAAGGGTCTGGATTCAAACACTCAGAATCCCACAAGGCCACAGCAGACTGGACCTCCTCAGAACCAGAGCACGAGAAACGAAGCTGTCCAGCCATGCCGCTGAAGCCCATACCCCGGCTCTTTCCAGAAACCTCTGGGTGAGGTCCTGGGATCGACTGGCGACTGCACCCCAAATTATAGATGGGGTGAACGGCTCATCTAGCTTGTAACCATTCACAAAAATTCAAAATATGACACTTCGTTGCTCCATAAGGTAAGGATTGAAGGTAAGGGCTTCTGTCAAGCAAAAGGCAATAAAAGGGTTTTTTAATGCAGTAATCGTTGTGATAGTCTAATCCCAGCGATAGAGGAGAAGGAAAGTGACATGTACTATGAACTTCTACAGTCCAATACTATGTTTCTACCACTGAAATGGGACCAGACCCCTGTCTCTTAAGGACGCTAAGGGGGTACTCCAGCTCTTGTGAAGATTTTCACAGCTCTCGGGTCACCGTGAGCACAGTATGGTTTGAAAAGCAGTGGCTACCGTCAGAACAGGTCTATTTTAAAAACAGCTGTGCTGCAGTTAATTAAACTTGGGGTATTTTAATTAACAAAGTCTTACTTAACAGAACGCAGTAACACAGCATTTGAGCATTTGCCCTGTTGTAAGCTCAGAAATAATGGTTTTTTGGCTACTCTTTACCACCACTGAGACTTGCCTCGGCACCACATGCAGGAAAAAAATGCCAAAAATATCTAGCTGTAGAAACGCTTTTAAAATTGTTTTATGTAATTTTTCACCTCGATATCTAGACCTGAGATTTAACATCAGTGCTGGAATGTTTCCACAGTGCGTCTTCATTTGCAGTGCTTGCAAGGCCAGCGGCGGCTACTGAGGATGATGTTAGAAAGCCAGTTAGGTCGCGGGTTCAAGGAAGGGAAAAAAAAAAAAACACAGCAAAACACATAAAACAATCAGCCACATGAAAGACACAAGATGGAAACACAAATCTGGCTTGCATAAAAGTGTGCACTTTCTAACTTTAATATTCTAAAAAGTGACAAAAGTTCTTTTTTCTTCAAAGTGAATCCAGCAAAGTAAATATGATCCTTGCAACAGCTGGATTGTCCAAATCCCAACACAGCAGAAAAGCAGCACGTTTGAAATGATGCTTTTCGCAACCTTGAGTCCAGAGGTAGCGGTTCTGAATTTCAGCTCTGTCACAAGCCATTTCACACCCCTAGTCCTGGCACCCCAGCAGCGACCTGAAGCACCCTGGACCTCCCTTAAAGGGGAACTGCAGCGCTCTTTTTATATTTCGGGGTCAGAAAGAATCGGCATTGATGAGTGCATTTCAGACCACAGTAAAAGCAAAACGTACAGGAACTAGTAAAACGTCCAATTCCCATCACAAAACACACTAAATTCCCAGGTCTGTGCAGCGCCACATGCTTCGATTCAGAACGAGGCCACAAAACGTCCAGCAAGGTGAAGTGGCCCTCTTACAACGTAAACAAGCAGGCTCGCGAGTACATCTCTTTTAATCCAAGAGAAACACTGCTCTCGACTTCGAAACGATTTTGCCGACAAACACTACCTACTTGTTAGCTCTGCACGCACATCACATCGGAACATTTCCGCGGCAAAGTGTCTGCGGCACAACCTGTCCTTATCCGCTCCTACACCGCACTGCATTAGTCACCACAGAGACTAGTGAGCAGGAAGGGCCGCTGCGCGTCACAGTTCTCGTGAACTCTCGCCCTCGCCCGCGGCGAGACCAGGGGGCTTGCGACAACGCGGAGACCATAACGCACTTTCACCAAGTTCACGACTGTGAGCTGAACTCGAAATCCGTAGGAAAAAAAAACCCCCGTCTAGACCGCCAACTAATTTACTTGGTCACCGAGATTTAATAACGGGTTCTGCGAAAACGGAGCTGCGGCTCCCCTTTCACTTGGTTATTCAACTGCGGTTCCTTTTTTAGGGGGATGCAGGCCCGAGAGGGGGGTTCAGTCGTCAGCTCAGCGCGGACCCCGCTGTCCGGGGGAGAGCCGTGCGATGCCTCAGTAACAGCGTGCCAGCTCCCTGCTGTCTGCACTCCCACCTCGCCGCTCGAGGAGCACCTCGATTTCTCCACGCCCCACGATAACCGCCAGCCGCCTTTCCCCCCCAAGAAGGGAGCGGTCTCGGGCACGCTACGAGCACGCGGCCCTACGCCGCGAGACCACGGCGGACACGCGGCCCTCGGCCGGGCGCCAACACCGCCGGGAAACTCCGAGACGACGCGCAGAACGCGCTCCATCTGCCGAATCTAAGCTTGCCACCGGGAAAAGGACCCGGGATGCCCGAGGAGATCCGAGGCCGAGCGGGGAGAGGAAAGGTTTCAGCCACGTGCGCGGAAGGGAACGTTTGGGAGCGTGTAGTGCCGAGCCCCAGCGGACAGGGCTCCGAACGGGCGGCTTACAGCGTTCACACGCAGGACCGCGGGCCGCGCTTCCTGGGGGGCGGCCATCCCGTGCGCAGGCTCGCCCTTCGGCTCCGGCGCCCCCTCCTTCCGGGACGGAGCCTGGGGCGGCTCCAGGTCGCTGTCCCAGTCCTCGTCCCCGCTGTCCGAATCGTCCATCGCGGCCTCGGCCGGGTCGCCGGGCGCCGGGTAGCACCCGGGCGGGCTCTCGACCGCTGCCTCACGGACCTCTCCGGGGGCGTCCCCGAGCGCGCGGCGGCCCGCCAGGTCCCGCTCCCTGTCGCCCTCGACGACCTCCTCCTCCTCCTCCTCCTCTTCCTCCTCCTCCCCAGCGTCCAGGATCGCCTTGTCAAACAAAGTGGACTCGAAGTGCAGGTATCCGTTGGGGGCGGGGCGCGGCGGCCCCAGGCCGAGGCCGGAGGAGTAGGCCCCAGACTCCTCGCCGCCCGTCCCCGGGGGGCTCCGGGGGGCCGGGGGGGGGCCGCGCCCCTTGAAGCCCAGCTCGGCCCGGTTCACCATGGAGGCGAGGTGCTGGAGGCGGCGGAGCGGGCTGTACCGGGGGGGCGGGTCCTTCCGGTCGGACGCGGGCTCGCCGCTGGGTTTGCCGGCCGGGCCCGCAGACAGCTGCATGGCACGCGGCCCCTCTACTGAGGCCTCCGCCCCCTGCGCCCCTCCGCGGGGAGCGTGGGTGCCATCGGGAATCGGGAGCTCCGGTGCGCTGGGACGACACTCCAATGCATTCCTGCCTGCCAGCTCACATGACTGATTCATAGTGTCATGACTGCACCCTGCAACACACGGACACACACACGTGACGGTCAGCACGGGCGCGCAGGGAAACCTCCCTGGCTGCGAACAGCGCACACAACCGTCCGGGGGAAGATGTGCTGAATATTAAAGAGGAAAAAAAAACATTTAATTCTTGATTTAAAAAAAAAAACAAGGGGTTACACAGTTCCTATTTTTTTTTTAACTCCTTGCGACAGCTCAGTGAAAAACTTAAAAAAGTGGTGGGGTGTGGAGGTTGTTGGGGGCAAAGCGGAAAAAAACACAATTTCAGTTTTTGAAACATTTGAACTTCGCAACAATGTGGCTGCAGATGTATTCTCCCCGGTCCTTTCAAAAAAAAAAACCCCACTGTAACTATTCACTTCGCATAGATAAGTCTTCCTGGCGGGTTCGTGTCCATCTGGGCGATTTAACAGGAGTGCAATTCGCAGCAATTCTCTTAAAAATAATTTTCTCTGACAACGGCCTTTGAAGAAAAGCACGTTACGCCTCGCCTGCTGGTCACGTCATTTAACAGCATAACGTCTGTAGGTTCGTGGTTCTGACGCACTGTCCCCTCGCTACAAAGTTGACGGCTTTCCGTGAAGCATCTTTAGAAAAAAAAAATGTTCGGGTAAAAAAAAAAATAACACCTCTGCAAAATATGTCAGTGCTACATTCGGCATCACGAAGTCCGAGGCCAGAGACTCCGTCCCTGCCATCAACACTAGTTCACACATAACATGCAGACATACGCACCGACAGATACACACACACACACGGAAAATCCCGATAGGTTTAAAACATCGAAAATCGCCGGAGCTCAAAAAATCCACTGAAATCTTACCATTCAGATCTCGGACACAACAAAACCAGTTGAAACCCCTTCAAATTTGGACCTATAACGTGACTTTTTTCCAATTTGTGAAAGCGGATCTTCAAAATCCCAGCGCCAGAGCTAGGCCCGTAGCCTGTTCTCATAATTTTCACTTTACCACTTCACCGGCGGCCCCTTCAGGAAAATAAATAACTGCTCTCTCTCTCTCTCTTCTCCTCTGATGGACCAAAAATCAAATCCTTACATTTCTGGCGCTGCATTTAAGTGCCGAGAAGTTCGTGCTACCTGGTCTGCCTAGCGTGTTGCTATTTCGTTTTTAATAAATGATGATTGTTTCTTGCAGCCGACCTGCCCCTGGTTATATTAATACAAGCCCCGGCTGTGTCTGTCTCGATCTCTGAGCAACCAATCGGCACGGCCACCCATCCCCCCAGCCTCTACACCAGGATACTGAGCTGACTACAGTGCACTACCACTCCAGAAAAGAGCGAGAAATCACCATTTCGCTCCAAGACGCGTCGGGAGAGACGGACTGAGCAAACACGCCACGTCCCGTGCACCCCCCACGAATGCCTCTTGACGGTCGTTTCCTTAAAAACAGGCACAAAACGTGCCCCCCCCAGGTACTACCTCCCCCCCCCCCTCCTCGGAGTACTTTACTAGTCATAGCGCGCCATTTGTCCCTCTTTTTCCCTACAAGGGCGTCACTTCCTCCATCTTAGGTTACAAGTAATGATAAGAATATTTTAAAAGACCCCCCCCCC